GTTACATTACACTGAGAGATTAAAGAGGTGTAGATCACTAGTGTAAATGAATGTAAGTTCTGTTTATGCGTATGTTTCTGTATTGACAATGACATCCCAAATGTTTTAAAATGAATAAAAATACATTTATTCGGAAATGCTTTGATAACGTATTTATCATGTTTTACTGGGAACAAATTCCGCAACATTTTTATCAAAAGAAGTACTCTGATTTTTATAAAGCATAAACAAAATCGGTCTTTTCTAGCCGTGAAAATGGGGATGTCACACGAAAGGAAGAAAGGAGATGAATCAAAAGAGAGAGAGAGAGAGAGAGAGATTTTATTTTGTTTTATTTTTAATTGTTTTTTAATTGTTGTAATAAAAGAAAAATGGAAAATAAAATAATAAGGGGCAAATCCGTCATTATAAAAAATTTAATAAGAAATTGGACTAAACTCGCAACAAAATGAAACTATTGGACCATCATTACGAGCCAAACTCATTTTGAACCAAAATTGCTAGTTTTGACATACCACAGAGACCATTCTTGCAATTTTGTCTTACATTTTTACAAAGATCATGAATTTTTGTAAAGAAACATATATTGTGGTAAGAATCTCAAAACTATTTTCATAATAGAAGAGATCTTTATATTGATAAAACTAAATCTTAGCTTTAAAAATATTTTAAAAATAGTATGATATAAAAATATGGAAGAGATCTTTATCCCTTGGCACGCACGCTTCTTCAGCTGTAGCATCGGTTAGTTCTTATACGGTCGCCGGTTGCGAACGGCGCTCCGTTGAACCCAAGCAAGGTTAGGTTATGTTTCCTTAATTCTTTTCAATTCTCATTTTCTAATTCTTCATTGTTGTTGATCGACGCTATCCTCTCCTCTATGCATTTGGGTTCAATTTTTTTGTCCGACTTGACAGAGTTTTATATGTGTATGTATCTGTATAGATCCTAACAAGTATATTTTCTGATTTTATTAGTGAATGATCATTGATTTGAATTTTGATGAGAGTATGAGACTATTGCGATCAGTTTATTTATGATCTCTACACAGGTATTGCGTGATCTCTACTCCTATCCAAATACATGAACACGAAGTTACGCCTCGAAATCCCAAAACTATTTTGGTCCAGATACAGCTTAGTTCGCATAATTGACTAATTGTTTGTTAACTAGAATATAAACAATGTACAATGTCTAAGTTGATAGTATTTAATTGTTGATTCGAGAAAGAATCTAGCTGCTGATTATCGCCTCGGTATAAATAGATAATGTATTTGCCTTTCAAACAGTGTTTTTGCACATAACTTTCTCTGAAAGGCTACTCTTTGCCTATTGTATTAAATTGAACACATACAACTTCAATAAAAAGAGTAAACGCTAGTTGGATACAAAGTCTTTAGTCGTCTTGCTCCATAACATGATTATGCATGTTCTAACATCCTTAATTTTGACTTTTTCTTTTGTTTTGGTAGGGCTTGTGTAGAATCTGACTAAATCAAGTTCTATTTGTTCTTGCAGATTCATCATCGAATATTACTCAAAGTGTTTAGTTTTCTTGCAATGAATCTCCCACAGAAAAGAAAAAATCCAGAGCCTAAACCAAAACCAGGTGGTGGTCTAGCCGAATCAGATGGCATGGTACTGGATGCGATCAAAAGCAAAAAAGAAATGGCAATCTTGAAAAAGGACTTAAAGGAAGAAACAAAACTCCCAGACTCCATTTTCAACAAGTGTCTCAAGAATCTCCAAGCTTTGGGTCTAATAAATGAAGTTCCCCATGTCCAATTCAAGACCAAAAAATACTATATTGCAGCAGAGTTTAAGCCATCAGAAGAGATCACAGGTGGTTCATGGTATGAAAATCGGGAACTTGATCAGGACTTCATTAATGGTCTTAAAGACTTTTGCCTAAGGATCATTCGTAAGCTAAAGGTTGCAACTGCTGATGTAGTAATGGATATAATCAAGAACAAAGGGGTGTTAAAAACTGATTGCACGAGTCAGCAAATAAGTGAGATATTGAGGTATATGGTTTTGGATAATAAGATTATAGAGGTGAAGAGTACTGGATTGGGTGAATATCATTCCATTCCTATTGGGAATTTATGTTATAGGTGTTCATCAGATGATTCGTCAAAGAGTTTAGAAACAGGGGCAATGATGTCAATTCCTTGCGGTGTTTGTCCAAAAATTAGAGAGTGTACGCCTGGTGGACTTATCTCTCCAACTACATGTGTCTACTATGCCAAGTGGTTGGATTTCTGATCATGACACCATGTTTCCATTTTCTGCAGCATCGAGGATACTATATATAATATAGTTTAGGTGTTTGATTTCTTGATCTTTTCATCCATTAAGACCTGTTTGTCTTTTATAAGTTTGGAATGTTTGATCTTGATTCAATGAAAATATTCTTTTGTTAGACATTGAAATGAAATATGTTATCTATCTGGAGTCAAGAATGGAAAGTGGAAATGACTTTCTTTCAGATTCATTTAAACATGCGATTCTTTTCCTAGTCATTCAAACATGTAGTCTGTTTTGGAGTCAGAATGGACAATGTATGCCAACTAAGCACCCAAAACTGGTTGGATGTGCAATAAACGGTTATATTGATACAGTTTAACAAAATTTCTAGATTTAAAGAGCCTAATCGTATTATTTTATCATATAGTTATTTTCATTTTCATTTTCATTGTTATTATAATTATTACAGATAAATACAAGAGATAGCAATGTTTATGTATCTATCATAGCCATGTCATTGTCCATATAAGATATTCAAGTATAATATAAAAGATGGGAAGCACATTGCAATTTCTTTTTGCATTTAGTCATGTTCACTGCTAAGAATTATGGCAAATACAATTGTTAGTAACTTAGTACTCATTTAGTCATGATCCTACCAAAAACTTTAAAACATTATTATACCACTCAAAACTTCACGCTCCATACCATTCTTGTATTGGAGGCTTCCGCTTTGGACATTGATCAAATTGAAAAAAAATCTTATCAAATTTTGTCCAGCAAAAGAAGAAATGTAGACATTAAACGTAAGCTATTATTCTACTATTTTTCTTCCACAAAATTTGTTTGTATAATTCGACCACACAATTCGTTCATTCTCAATTTTCGATTATTTATTTGCGCCTATAGTGTTTTTTCTTTTACTATTGTTGAGTAGGGCTATATAAGAAGTGAGAGCCACATCCTTTTTTATTTTTCTTATATTTTTAATACTTTATATCAATTTAGTTTAGTTTTCCTTATAATTGTAAAATTCAACTATAATAATATTGGACATGCCTAATGATGTCCAGATATACAAGAATAAGAGGTACAACATATCATTTTCAAGTTAGGTACCATTTAATTTTACTTCGCATAGGCTTTCGAAAATTCATTTGATCAGCTCAAACTATGATGAGCCTAAAGGATAGTAGGGTATGTTTGACAAAAATATTTAATAATCGGAAGACATAACTTTTATTATATAGAATTATTAGACAAAATTATATCTAAGTTTGTAAAATGTGTAAAATTATATAAATGAACATCAATAAAAGCACAAATGGAAACCTTAAAGGGGAAGCCTAATATTTCTAATATAACATACAATAGTTTATCTTTAAACGCTATTTGAAATAACTTTTGGATTATAAACTGTTTTTTTTTCTTTTTTTTTCTAAAAACTTTAAGCTTGGCATTTTTTTTCTTAATTCGAGTTTTTTTTAAAGACTAAAAGTTTTCTAAGTCTATACGATGAGAGGCTAGTGGTTGATGTATATAATTCTACAAAGAAAATCCAGAGATTCAAACACACACAAAAAATACAATGCATTAGTGCCCCACAACTTATCCCAACATGATGGCCTTTGGATAGTTTCGGCACGGGTCATCCATACGGTGCGACTTATCATTTTAAAAGCTCTCAAATGTAGTTGTTTCCCGCGATAAAAACTTAGGGGGTGTTTGGATAGGAAAAAAAGAGGGTGTTTATTGCTTATTCCCACCACAATAAGCTAAGTTTAAGTGTTTGGATAAAATCTTTAAAAATCAGTTTATTGTGTTAGAAATAAGCTAATTTTAATAAGCATCTCCTCCTTTGCTTATTGCTTATTGTTTATTCCCACCACAAATAAGCTAATAAGCAATAAACTAATAAGTTAATCCAAACACCTCTTAGTGATTGATGAGTGAAATTTTATATAAAGGTCCAAAGTTCAAAACCCTGACAAATCCAAAATATTGCCGGTGTTCACTCTTTTAGCGATTTACCTCCCACACGAGGTCTTGGGGCAAGTTTTAAGGGTATAAATTGATTTTTCAAGTTTCAATGGGGTTTAAATGAAAATTTTACATTGATAGGTTTTTAAAATTCGCACGCTTTAGTGGGTGTACAAAGCCCTAAACGTAAAACCCTTTCATGTACGCACAAATTCACCAATTCACAATCACTTGGGACAATTCTGCATCGCATCATCTACGGCTGCACATCTCCGTTGAACCCAAGGTTTCTACTTTTTAATTTTCATTTCATCCATTGTTGTTGATGCTAAATCTCTTTCAGCCTCTTGTTTGTTGACACTTTATTTTTCTCACTTGCAAAGAACGACACATTCGTTTTTTTGTGTGTATGCGTGGATTCTAACAAGCACAATATTTTAATCTGAGTTTGAGACTATTGCGATCAATTTATGATCTCTTCACAACTATGATTTATTTGAAAGGCTCTTGTTTGTCTGTACTACTATCCAAATACCTAAAAATGGCGTAACGCATCTAAGGCCTCGTTCCTTCCTGAGTTTAACAAAAGAAAAGAAAAGAAGAGAAAAGAAAGAAAAACAAAATTTTCTTTTGTGTTCTTTCTTTCTAAATTTTCTCAAATCCGAAGGAAAGTTAGGGGGGAAAGTGATCCTCCCATTTCCCTCCACTTCCTTCTATTTCCCTCCTTTAATGAAACTCCAGAACACCAATTTTTTTTATTTTCTCTCATTTCCATTCATTTCCTTTCCTGTTAAGTTAATTTGTTAAGTTAAGTTGAACTCGGGAACGGATGTAAATGCAAGAACTCTCATGATCCAAATATAAATGGGCTCGCATAATTTAATACTTATAAAGGTTAACTGGAATGTAAAAATTGTCCATGGTATATCCCACGACGAGAGTAATAGAAATTAGGGCTTCAGGTTATTAGAAATCAATCCGCTTCGACCTCCGACCTCCAAACCCTTCACGTTTCTTCTGCTCGACGGCGTTCAGAGCTTCACTTCCGGCCACCAGACATCGACCTCAGGTCCGATTGGAAGTTTTTTCGTATTTTTTATTTTTATTTTTGCGGTCTTTCATTTTCTTTTGATGATTATAGTTCCGATTCCTGTTGGTTTCTTTCTTTCGATCACTCTTGTATAGTATTATACCTTTAGACCTCTTGTTTGTTTTTTAGCATTATGGTTCCTGAGATCCCTGTGTTAATTTCTTGTGAACTGTGAAGTCTGTTTTGATCACTGTGAAGCCTCTGTTTGTGTAGAAACTCAGTAATCAAGTTAGTTCTGTTTGCATCATTCTATATGACTCAAATCAAAGTGTTTATCTTGTTGCAGCTTCATCAAGATGAGTCTCTTACAGAAAAGAAAAGCCCCAGAGACGAAACCAAAAACAGGTGGTAATATAGCGGAATCAGATCGCATAGTACTGAATGTGATTAAAAGCAAAAGAGAAATGGCAATCTTTGTAAAGGATTTAAAGCAGGAAGCAGGACTCCCAGATCCGACTTTCAACAAGTCTATAAAGAACCTCCTAACTTCTGGTTTAGTAAAAGAAGTTGCCCATGTCCAATTAAAGGGCAGAAAACACTATATTGCAGCTGAGTTTGAGCCATCACAGGAGATCACAGGTGGTTCATGGTATTCAAAAGGAGAACTTGATCAGGACTTCATTAATGGTCTTAAAGACCTTTGCCTCAGGATCATTCGTAAGCTAAAGGCTGCAACTGCTGATGGAGTATATGATTTTTCTGTTAAAAATGGGCTGATTAATACTGATTGCACGAGTCAGCAAATAAGTGAGATATTGAAGTCTATGGTTTTGGATAATAAGATTATAGAGGTGAAGAGTACTGGATTGGGGGAATACCATTCCATTCCTATTGGGAATGTATGTTACAGATGTACAACAGGGGATTCCGCTCAGGGTTTGAGAACAGGGGCAATGGTGTCAATTCCTTGTGGTGTTTGTCCAAGAATTAGAGAGTGTACACCTGATGGACTCATCTCTCCAACTACCTGTGTTTACTACACCAAGTGGTTAGAGTTCTGATCATCACACCATTTTGTTTGATTTTGGGTGTATAGTTTTAAGTGTTTCTTTTCTTCATCTTTATCTAGACTTTTTATATACTTTTTGTTTCGTTTCATCCATTAAAGACCTGTTCATCTTTTATGAATTTCTTATTAGAGCATTGAATGATTCAATTTTGAATGATCATGTCATTGTTCATATAATAGGATATTTCAGTTGAATAAAACAGAGGGAAAGTACATTGTTATATTTCTACTCTTTGCATTCATCCCTAATTATTATGATATGATATGATATTGGTATGGTGTTGTTTTTGTTTTTATTATCTTTAATTGTAATTGTATATGTAATTTTTCTGTTTCTTACTGCTATCGATATTTTATAATTACATTATTAGTATTACCATTATTATTAATAATATTAGTATTGTTATTATTATAATTATTTATCCCAGTGTTTGGATTCTAATTCCAAAGGTATATTTACTAATCCACCATGGTATGAATAGAATTCGAATTCCATTTTTTTTATGCCAAGCAAATGCACAAGTTAACTTTAGTTGCTTGAAACTTGAAACTCTGTTTCTTTAAAAACTTAATTTAGTTATAAATTACTAAATTTTATCATTTAATGTGTTCATTTCTAACAACTTGGAATTGTATTCTAGATATATAATTACTTTTTTTAATCCTTTTTTTTAAAATTGAATTTGTTTATCTGTTGATCAATAGTTATTACCTGTGATTGTATTTGTTTTTTTTTTTCCTAAACATTGTGTGATCAATTTTTGTTTTAACTTTACTCATAAAACAATAGTAGTTAGCAAAAAGTTACAATAAAGTTTTTTAATTTTTCGATGAAAATTTTGATTGAGAAATTGAATATGAAATGATAAATAAAATAATTAATATGCACTTTAAGGAAATGAATATATTTTCAATGAAATTTCGAGTTATTTTGAATTTAGATATTATTGTTGATGAATCACATGATCCTAATACTGTATTTCATTTCACATAACATAATGTTTTATATCTTCCTCAATTTACATAAAAAAATATATATGTTTGTTACATATTTGAGGTTTAGTTTGAACGGAAAAAGACAGGCAGCTATAAAATTTTCTAATTTTTCTAATTTTTTTTCTCAATTGTAAATTTATGTACCTACTGTTTGTATACAGTAGTTGCTATCTAAACTTCTTGTTATATTTAGCCAACTGTATACCAATAGACTGTGTAACAGAATTGCTAATTCAAGTAATGACCTTGGAGTTATCAGTCTCCCAAACATCAACCAAAAAATCGAAATTCTCAGCTTGAGACACTAAAAGTTTGGCTTTAGTACCTGTGACAGCCCCACATATTCTTACCACGAAGGAAGTTTTTCATAACATAACTCTAATACGTATAATTCTTTCTATCTAGTTGTGATTGACTGAAGGGAATCATCATTTCCAGTCATATTGGCAATGGATAAATAACCACAACAATAGATAAGCAATCAGAGAATGAGAAGCGCAACAAATCAGCGGAAGCAACCAATCGAACAACAACAAACTAACAACAACAGCAAACGAATACCAACAAGCAAACGAACATCAACTGCGAAAGAGCATCAAACAAATTGGAAATGAAACGGCTACAGTAACCCTAGAAATTTTCGATAATATTGTCATATGATTATTGAAAAGAGAGAAATTACAAGGTTTACAATGAAAAAAACTACAAAGAAGAAAGGAAATAATAAATACTACCTAAGACCACATCCTAATACACTAAAGCCTAAAGGGCCAATAAACATGTGGGCTAACAACATATATACGCTAGGGGTGTGCGCGGTGCGGTTTGGTGCGGTTTAAGTCTAAAACCGCAAACCGCACCGCATATGCGGTTTGAGTTTTTTTGAAACCACAAACCGCACCGCAGAAGTTCTAAACCGCGTTATGCCGTGCGGTTTGTGCGGTTTGATGAGTTGCTACATTTTATAACTTTTGAAAAATCTAAAAAGCCTTTTGATCTTTTGAGATATAAAACTAGAAACTAGAAATGTTTTGCAAAAAACTCAAAAACAAGTTGCTTTCTGTAATATGTTTGTTAATTAATTTCTATTGTATGACTATATTCACTAATTTTAGGCTAATTAACATATCCATTTTTATCCATACCAACATTCT